TCAGACAGGAAAGCCTTAAGCTTTGGAGAAAAACTGGCTCATCAGCACCATTAACTCCTTCAATACTGCCAAAAGAGGTGTAGCACTGGCTGCACTTTTAATTAGACTGTTTGTTCTTTGAGGCAGGGGACCTATGTGCTTAGCATCCCTGAGTGAGACATCTATGCACTTGTGTTTTAAATAACTTGTGTTTTAAATGCAAAGATAGGCTGCAATGCCAATGGTAAACAAGCAGGCCTCTTAACAGATTTGCAGGCATGCTAAAATGTTTTCAGGTGCCATCTAGTGGCAAAATTCTGATCATGTACCTTTGAAAGCAGTCAGTGCAGCACAACAACATTCCGTGGGGAAGAATATACAACCAGACAATTCATGCATTATGTATCTGGCCTAAGTAACATGCATTCTAATGTATATGGTATTTAATTTAGGATGCAAGATACACGTAGCATTTAGGAGCAGCTGCATTGAGTTATTCAGGAAATAAATTCCTGGCAGAGCCTACAACATGGATAAAACAGATACACAAGTATTTGGATTCCAGAGGTTCTTCAAGCTCTGGATAATTGGTGAGTGGTATCTAACAAACCAGCAGTAGGAGACTATAGGGTGACACTTTCACAAAGACATTTGGCCATTACTTGAAGGCAATGCAAGGAGAGAGTAGGCTGGTCTCACCTCTGTGTCATCACTGTAGATGTAGTAGAGGACCCTGATAAAGATGTCTTCTGAGATGTTATGAAGTGTCACCACAGGGATGGTGGGCTGAGTCTGCAGCTCCTCGCTCTCACTAAAATGATCCTCAAGGAGGGCTTTGAAATAATCACTGCGACCACAGAAAAATGCCTGCATGGGAAAAGAAAAACCCAATGCTAGCATCTCCCTTTCTGCTACACTGAGCCAGACAGCACTGGGCCAGGGATCAACTCTGAGGAATTCATTAAGCAAGCTCCAAAGCACAGCATCAGTAGCAGAACCTCTGCTGTGCTTTTAGCTCAATACTCTAATAGGCTTCTCTTTTTTCGTATCCCTTTTGTGTCTTATTTTTATAACATTACTGTCCTCAAAGCAAAAAAAAGAGATACTAACTGGAGTGACTGTTAATTTAGAACAGTAATATATTTCTAGTTAGCGGCCTGGGAGTCAGGATTCCTGAATACTGTTTCCAGTTCCACCCTTACACACTGAGTCATGCTGAACTATTAAGGATCCAACACTTCCAGCAACAGGCTGAGATTTGTTGCTGACAGCACAAGGCATAATGTAGACGATTCTTACAAAGTAAGCAGGTTCGTGAATTGCAGTAAGGGAGGCAGACCAGGATGTTTCATTCAGAAGAGTGCTTTAAGTTTAGCTACCTCTGCAGTGCATCTATCTCCTACTATGTGCACGGGAAGGACGTACATGGCCTGGGATGTTTCTAAATGTCTGTGCATACCTTATGGCATAAAAAGTTGTAATCTGCTACTCGAAAACACACATCAGGGCAGCTGCTAAAGTTGTCAGTGCTGTCAAACGGCAACTCCCCAAAGCCCACCTAGAAAGACAAGTTAAAAGAGAAGAAAGTTCTGCAGTTAGCATCCATGGTATAAACATGAGAGCTGTTGACATTGATCTGTAAAGCTCTTGTCTCTTGGATATCTGAGACACCCACCTCTACCCATTTCCATCTTAGCAGTAATGCAGCTCACCAGAGATGCTCTTCCTGACTGATCCTAGATTGGAACATCTGAAAGCACAATGGCAGATATGCTTAGTGGAGTGGCTTCTGAACTGAAATGCCCCTTCCCAGTTTGTTCAGAAGAGACAAATGACCTTTAAGCCACCAGTGGCAGGCTCATAACTCTTCTCTTAATATGCAATGGGGATCTTAATACTGACCTCAGTCAAGGAAAGGTGTGTTATTTTTAATCATAGTGTATGCACAAAATCATTTTATAGGTTAAACAAAGGAATCACAGATAAGAATGTAAGAACAGCCATACTGGGTCAGACCAAAGTTCCATCTAGCCCAGTATCCTGTCTTCCAATAGTGGCCAATGCCAGGTGCCCCTGAGGGAGTGAACAGAACAGGTAATTATCAAGTGATGCCTCCCTGTCACCTATTCCACTTCCAGACAAACAGAGGCTAGGGACACCATTCCTACCCATCCTGGCTAATAGCCATTGATGGACTTACCCTCCCTGAATTTATCTACAGTAAAACTCCATTAGTCCAGCATCCAATGCTCCGGGACTCCTGATGGTCCGGCACCATCAGGAACCCGGAAGTGCTGGGGCAGCCGGACAGGCTTCCCCCATTCAGCTCCACTTCCAGACAAACAGAGGCTAGGGACACCATTCCTACCCATCCTGGCTAATAGCCATTGATGGACTTACCCTCCCTGAATTTATCTACAGTAAAACTCCATTAGTCCAGCATCCAATGCTCCGGGACTCCTGATGGTCCGGCACCATCAGGAACCCGGAAGTGCTGGGGCAGCCGGACAGGCTTCCCCCATTCAGCTGCTGCTGAAACTGACCAGCAGCTGCTCTTGGGGACGCCTGGGACAGAGCAGTTGGGGTACTGCCTGGTTGGTCCCGTA